GTATCCTGCTAGTAGAGGACTTCCTGGAGAAAACTAGCATTGGTTGTGTGCCTGGTGGAGTTTTGGAACCTTCCTGAAAGAATACTTGCAGAGGGAGAATACCTCTTGGTGTGGTAGTGTTCATTTAACCTTTAGTAATAAAAAGATTAATAATGAGAAGTCCAGCCTGTTGGGCCTTTTCTTCATGAATTTCACTCAAAGCACTCATGTGAAAGAGGGTTTTATAACAAATCTCATTTGATGAATAAGGCATTTAATAAGTAAGTACACTGCCATAGCACCTGTCTTTTAAACAGTGCATGAGGATGCCCAGATAACCTTGATAATGTCTATGTCTAAAAGTTTAAATATTGAGACTGAGACAGAAAAGGAAATGAGATTGGGATGGGGCCAGGGAGTTAGAACTTGGGAAATAACAAACTGTCTCTGATGCTATCTACTAAGTATGCCACATGAGGAAACATGAATTGAGAAGATTAACTGAGAAGTTTTAGCGATTGTAGAAATGACATGGTTTTGGCATGTTGTTTTTGCAACTGTTGGCACAGATGGGTTTTATACCCTCGGTGGGTACATGGAACTTCCCCATAAAGTTTTTCTAGAAATGAGAAAGCAGGAATTATGCATAGATTCATAGTTATTAGTAATGTCTTGGTCACCTTTCTGTGCTAAAAGCCCCATCCTTGTTCTTGCCTTTTAAAAAAAAATAGAGTTCCCATCTCTCTACTTCTTTAGGTCTCTTGAGATTGGATCCCTAAATGGCTTTAATGTTGTATCTCTGTTCAGCATAGATTTCTCCTGTATATATTTGGTTGCATCCAGCTGCTATTGCCACTTCTTTCCTCACACAATAAATTAGGTACACAGGTGGTAGACAGTCCAAATGTGATAGTTCTGGTGTCCATAATGAGAAATTAAATTACATTATATTAGATCACTACAAAAATGCCGGTGGTATGTTTCTTGTATCTAGTTTGTCATCATTCTAAAGCTACTGGTTTTGAGTCAGGAAAACCTAGATTCAGATCCTGCCTCAGACACTATGTAGCCCTGAGCATATCACCTAACTTCTCTGTACCTCAGTTTCCTCCTTTGGAAAATGAAGGGATTGGACTCAATGGTTTCTAAGGTCTCTTTGAGCTCTAAATTTATGATCCTGTGAAGAGTCTTAGTTGAATCTTCTCATCTGCCTTTTGTTATTTTGTTAATCGATGCTGATGAACAAAAAACTAGTGAGAGAAATTTTGCATTGTGGTTATAGAATTTTTAAACAAATTTGCATATTAAACCAGTGTTGTCCTTGGCTACTATATCTTTCCACTTGTGAAGAGAACTAAATATTTGCAGATTGTGTGGTTTCATAGACTCATTAGGCCTCTCCTTTGTGGTGTTTGTTTTGTGTTGGTTAAACTTTTCAAGGAAATGGTAAATGATGATGTCAATTTCTTTACTTTTGTCCATTTCCTATTTTTTCAAAGTCAGTGGTTTGTTTAAAATAAGTCAGGTTGGAGCTGCTGTAGTTATGTGCATTGTCTTCTTTGCATTATCTTTGACTCTTACTCTAAAACCCCAGGGACCCAAATGCACACATATAACTGATTTTTAAGTAATGTGAGTAGTTTACAATTATGTATCTCTTTGAAGTTTACATATATTATTTCATTTTATTTTCACAAGTCTGTGAGGTTATAGTACAAGTCCTGTCATTCACATTTTAGAGGATAGGAAACTCAGCTTTCAAAAGGTAAAGTGACTTGACTCAAGTCACACATAAGGAAGGAGAAGAAGGAGGAAGAAGAGAACAAAGAGGAGGAGGTGGAGAGCAGGAGGAATAGCTCATATTTACATAGCTCTTTAAGGTTTGCAAAGTGTTTTACATTCATCAAAAGAGCAGAGATGAGGACAAAATTGTCTCCTGACTCCACATCCAGTGCTTTTTCTATGGCACCACAGCTGTCTACAATCCGGAAGCAGTTATTTCCTACTTATTAAGATTTAGTCAATTTCCTTTTTAAAATTTAATGCTTATCTTATCCAACACTTTCTGACTTTTAAAAATTTAATTTTTTTCAACTAACAAAAATCTTATTTTCTCTCCTTTCCATCTCCTCTTGACATGGAGATAGGGGGAAGAACTCTTTTTTAAAAACAAATATGAATAATGAAGCAAAACAAATTCCTACTTTGGCCATGTCCAAAAATGTCTCATTTTGCACCTTGAGTCCATTACATCGCTATCAGCAGGTGGGTGGCAGGCTTCATCATCACTCCTCCGTAATCATGGTTGGTTATCGCATCATTCAGAGTTCTTACTTTTTTCAAAGGTGTTTGTCTTTAAAATGTTATTATATAAATTGTCCTTCTGGTTCTGCTTACCTTACTCTGCAGCAGATCATATAAGTCTTCTCAGATTTCTCTGAAATCATACCTTTCATTATTTCTCATGGCACAATGGTATTCAATTACATTCATATACCATTTATTCAACTAGTATCCAGTTTGTGAACCTATAACTTTCTTTTTGGGGGAAATAATCACTGTTTATAGGTATGAGTAGGGGTGTGCTAGTAAATTTTTAACAACCAGCTCTCCATGAAAAAAAAACTGTACTCACAACAGACTTTTCAGTTTGATCTGCATCATGAACATTCTCTCCATCATCTTCTTAAGCCCAGACAATCTACAAAACAATAAATCAAGCCCTGATTTGTAGCATTTGCCAATTTCTGAGGCATAAATGCTTAAACTGAAAATTTAACAATCAACTCTGGCAACTATCTTCAGCCATCTCCACAGTACAGGCTTCAACAAATCCTTGGTTTTGTGGATCATTTCTTGACCTGAACTGTGTTCTCCAACACAACTGTTTTCCCATCTTCCCTCTGCCCACTCTTGCACCGACATTGCTGCATATCAAATTCTGTATTTGTTTAGTATGATGGGCCCTATCAAGTTCTTCATACAAGTCAACTTCCTCATTCTCATTGACAAATAGAAATTACTTTTCCTACATAAATAAATAAAATAATAAGAAAAAGTACATCTATTAAAAAATCAAAATGCAAGTTTTGCCAATTAATAAAATAATAAATGTTTAAATTTAAAAAAACTAGAAAATGAGTAGTATTCATCAAATGAAAGGAGAAATTGAAATCAGAGAGAGGGAGAGAGGAGAGAGAGAGAGAGAGATGTGGTAGGTAGGATGCCCACACAGTATGATTTGCCCTGATGGCAAATGTCTTTAGGGATGGTGCTGATAACAGTTTCCCTTCAGGTCAGAGAGAAATTATAAAATAACTGTAAATCAGAAGGTGGGTTATGATTCCCAGAAGTCCATGCAACTGTTCTAGAATTCTGACCTCCCTCTCACGTTAAGATATGCTTTACAAACTATTAAAGGACTTTCTTCAAATTACAGGCTGAATTTATTACATAGGGAAAGGAAAACTAAGTTGTACATCATAGAGTTTTGGAGTTTCGTGTACAATTCTGTTTTGTATTTAAGGCAGCTGGGTGAATATCCAATAGATAGAGTCAAGAAGACCTGAATTCAAATTCAACCTCAGATAATTAATAACTGTGTGACTCTAGGCAAATCACTTAACTACCATCTGCCTCAGTTTCCTCATCTGTAAAATGGGGATAATCTAGCATTTATCTCCCAGGGTTGTTAAGAAGATACAATGAGATACTATTTGTAAAGTGCTTTGTAAACCTCTGTGTGCTATAAAAATGCATATATCATGCATTTTTATGTGCTATATGATGTCACATTTTGCAATTATATTATACAATCTTATAATACATGATATGATATGATATTACAACATATCATATCATTATATTGTGTGATTATTTGATTTGGTGTCTATTAATTGCAGAATTTTAAAAAAAATTTAAAACTAAAACAAAGCACTTCTCTCACATTAATCCAGTGAGGTAGTGGATCTTGCAAGCTTTCCACCCTTTTTAGATGTGGAAGCCTTTCAATATGTATTTGATCAGTGGCGTGCACTGTCAATAACCTGATTCCATGGAAATAGATTACTGATTATATATAAAGCTTATTATTTGTTTTTCAATTTTAGAAGTTTGTATTTTTAAACCTTAAAGGCAATATTTTTTCTATTTCTTTACTGTGAAAATATAATAAATTCTGTTTTCTGGCATCTAGGAAAGAAGAAACTGTATATGCTGTGCTACATTAGTTTGGGTAGCTTAAGAAATGAATACCCTTCTCTAGGCTGTTAAAAGTGATAGATTTATTTGAACAACTCGAAGATAACAAAAATGACATGGTATCAAGTGCCTACCAGACAGACTACATCAATCAACAGGTGTTCTTCAAGCACCTGACGGATACTTTGCTACCCACTAGAGATACATTTCCCAGCTCTTGCATTTGATGCTGCTGGGGCAGCATGCACATGTACAATGAAAGTAAATGCAGGATAAGTGAAAGAGGTGCTAGGAGTTAGAAGGATTGGGAAAGGCCTCATTGTGGAAAGATTTTTGAACTGTGTGTTTTGTGTTCTATAATCTCAGAATCAGGGTGAGTGAGGTGGCGCAGTGGATAGAGCGTCAGTCCTGGAGTAAGAAGGACCCAAGTTTAAATCTGACCTCGTAGACTTAGTAGTTGTGCCACCCTGGGCAAGCCACTTAAACCTCATTTTCCTCAGTTTCTTCATCTGTAAAATGAGTTGTAGAAGGAAATGGTAAACCACTCCAGTATCTTTACCAAGAAACCTGAAATGGGGTCACAAAGAGTGGGAGCCAGCTCATTGACTAAACAGCAAGTCTCAGAAATAAGAAAGACAAAATAGCTGATCTAGTTGTTTTCTTTAACTCCGTATCTATTTTAGTACACATTTCATCATTTATATAGATTTTTTCCTTTCGTATCAGTAGACTTATTAGATTCTTTCAAAAACTTAGGATTAAAATGTAAATCTTTTTTTCCTCAAAATTCATCTGTGACTATGTTGTGTGTTTATTTCCAGGTTCCGTTTTTTGGGAAGAGAATGCATCACACCTGCCCTTGCCTGTCTGGGTTGGCCTGCGTACGGACTACATTTAATCGATTTAGATGTTTACCCAGGAAATAATGATCACTTTTGAAATGAAATCAGTTAAATGTGAACAGCAACTTAATGTATTTAAAGTTTTCCTTGTGATTGTAATGAACAAGTTATATGCCAGAAAAAAAAATCCCATTACTTTCTCCCTTCGTAAGCATCAAAAATGAATATATTTAGGCTTAAGTAATATTCTTAGACTTGATTTGAAAATGATGGGTTTTTATGGAGATACCGTTTTGAATAGAAATGTTGAAAGTAAAGTATTATGGACTAGCTTTTCTTCTCCACATTCATTTCATTTTATAAAATGAAGGCCAGAGTCTCTGCCAGAAAGATAAGGAAGAAGGTAATCTAGTGTAACCCAGTAGTGCGCCTGTTGGTCAGGGAGCAGCTGTGGTTTAGCTGCATCAGCTTCTGGGAGCCAGGTGGAAAAGTTGCACCATCTCCCCTGGACTGTGATTCCCAGAAGTCTATGCCGGTATCCCAGAACTTCTCCAGACCTATAGGCAAGTTGGCTCTAATTCAAAGCTACACTCATATTTGATTACCATTAAACTGTCAGGACGAGGCTATTTTTTTGGGGGGGGGTTTCCCATTTCCCTCATCACAGTTCCCCCAAAAGATACACATTTTTTGTTTCCATATCTCTCAATCCCCAAGGCATATTAAATCTCAACTTAACTATGACTGATCTCACAACTCATTCTTCTCCCTGATGCCTCATCACCCTACTCAGATTCTAAGTTGGCATTCACCAAATGTCCTGGTAAAATGTCCACCTTTGGTGGAAAGTCCATCAATGTTGGCCTTTTGGGTACTTAGTGAAACCAATGGCAAAAGTTAGCAACTGATTATTCTAACTCCATATCTTTTCCTAGAATAGTAAAGGTCTCATAGGCACAGCAGTCAAAAAAGGTGGTATTACCTTCAAACGAGCTAACCATATGTAATGAAGATGTACTGCCACTATCCATCTGAACCAGGAGCAGCAAGTTCTGCTGTTAGAGAGACGTAAGAGGAGAGAGAATAGCGAACCAAATTAATTTTTTCTTACTTTTTTTTTGACTTGTCCCTTAAAGCCTTTTTTCTTTCTCATAATAGAATTTCATTTTATGAGTGAGACATTTAGATATACCATAGAACATGTCATCCAAGAGGAAGAATTTATTTTGATCTTGCATAAAACTAGTTATACATTTGAAATAATATGCATTAAAATGTCACTTGTATTTTCTTTGAAACTGAAAGGTTTATTGTAATGGGTTGCTTAATATCTTGTCATTTGTACCTGTATCAATATTGCTGTGTAAGAATTCTGTATCAGAATAATGACAGTACTGTATATCATTTGATTTTAATATTATATCCTTATTTTTGTCACAATGGTCTCAGTTTTTATTCCAACAAGTGAGGATAATTTCTAAATAGGTCACACTCTAAATCCAATGAGGACTAAGAAGCTGGTAAAAATAGAGCTATTTAGTATACATACAGTTTGAATTTGTGCCAAATGAAATTTTACCAGTATATATTTCAGAACATTCAAAAACCAAGCCCAGTATGCAAGTAAATGTGACAATGGGACTTAAGGGGAAATCATGACATGCACAAAAGGTTGTAATTACGAATGAATTAATAGAACTTCACTGTGTACTAAGTACAATTGATTATATATAGATGCACATGAACAACATTTTTAAAGATGTAAAGTCTACATAAATTCAGTGAGATTGGAGAAAAACAAATTGCCTTTATTGTGTTTGAATGCATGTTGTCTCAAGTGAACAAACGACAAAATTTACTTAAATTAGTAAAATTGACTGAAGTTCAACCACCACAAGGTAGAAAAATGGTCATGATTTGAGAGTTTCCTCTGTTGTTTATATAAACAGGGTCTGCAGTTCCAAATTATATGCATTCTATCCAATAAGAATTCAATTAAAAGCATTTATTGTTTACTATATGCCAAGCAATGTTCTAAGCACTGGAGATGCAAAGATAAGCAGACAGTCCTGCCTTTAGGAAAATTACTTTCTAATGGGAGAAATACAGAAATTGGGAAGTGGAGACCAGGGCAGGGTAGCGTGTTTTCTGAAGTCACAGGCACAGTCACAGGAGTCATGGAGGGAATATACTCGCACCCTTACAAGTAGCAATGGCAGTATTATTGCTCCAGAACTGTAAGAGCCAGTGAGGAACTGGAATGTCCCTAAGGCCAGTGAGAAGATGTCGAGGGACTAACTAAAGTATACCTGATAGGAGGAGTCTAATAAAAATTACTTCCAAAATTTTTCAACTTTGAAATAAACACCAAATTTGGTTTTCCTGTAAAGTTAACTGCTTGGTCATAGCAAGCCGGGTGAGGCACTCACAGATTTCCAGTGCAGAAGTTCCTTACGGGAAAAGGTTAAATTTTCCAGGAACTGATGTTTGGGCCGGAGCAAGATGGCAAGTGGGATGATGTTTATGGAGTTGTACAGACAGAGATTCCTTCAGAAATAGATTGTTACTTGCTCTTCTAAGGACTGGACTTTCTTGGGTGATAGAGTCCTTTCTGGTATTAGCTTCAGATTGTATTTAAGGTACATTCCCCGACTGGGTTGACTCAAGTTTGAGCAGATGGTGCTGTGTGCGTATGAAGCAAGGGTTAAAGTAATCTAATAATTTAGAGATTTTCTAAGTGAATTGCTTGGGTGTATAAAATTCTCTATAAAACTTTTTCTTATATATATTAGTAGGAACATAGTGAGTGAAACACATTTTTTCCTTGTTTAGATTATATAATGAACCCTTAGAGAACTTTCCTATATCATGCCCAAGCCAACCAATAAAAGCTTTTGTAAACTTGCAACATAGCCTACAATTTTACATAGTTTTTATGTGTACACAGCAAAAAGGTTTGCACCACAGCACAGTAAATTTGGGACCTTCTTCATAGTCATCCAAGGAAAAAGCAGATGGGAGGCAGCAGACAGTTTTAGGTTTTTTGCTTAATTTCTTCATAATAGCAACATTCACAAAACTATTCATGAATAACAAAATTATATGTTTCACATGTGTGTATGGCTCAGCACACACGTGTACATATGTGTATACACATGTTTTTATTAATTAAGTTATTTTATTCCAGAAAGAAGTTGCACATTAAATTGCACAGAGTTACAACCTCACATTCACAAAAGAAAGTGAATATAAGAAAGTCACCAGTTATTAATATGCGAAGGTACATGATTTAAAAAGACAGTAATGAGTACTAACAGATGGGAGTGCCTTTGATTTATACATATATCCATATGTGTGTATGTATAAACAAATACACACATATAGTATATATGTATACTTTGACCTAAAGTACATCACAAAAGATTGTCATGAATTGGGTTAAGTTTTCCACCTTCTCTGATGGTCTATCTCTAAGGATTTATCTACAGAAGACAAAATTTGGTATATGATTATTAAAATTAAATTTGGCTGGGCACTTAATGATAGCAGATCTTAAACTTTTATTATGAAATACTCCAAACAAATATCATTTTTTAAAATTAATTCATTTATATTTAGTTTTCAACATTCACTTCCACAAGATTTGAGTTCCAAATTTTCTCCCCATCTCTCCCCTCCCCCCAGCCCAAGATGGCATGCATTCTGAATATCCCTTCCCCCAATCTGCCGTCCCTTCTAGCACCATCCCCCTTCTCTTATCACCTTCCCCTTCAATTTTCTTGTAGGGCAGGATAGATTTCTATACCCCATTGCCTATATCTTATTTCCCCATTGCATGTAAAAATAATTTTTAACATTCAAACAAATATCTTTAAGCGGAATTCTTGATTAAAATTGTCACATGGGAGAATGGTTACTAGTTCTAAAACAATAAATCATTATGGAATTGGTTTTGGTTTCCACAAACATTTATTGGCCTTCATGATGCAACCATTATCTTTTGTTTTTATCATTCTTTTAAAAGTACTTTTTGCTACTGTGCCAGTTAATAAACATTCATTAAGCACCTACTGTATGCCAGGTACTGTGATAAACTCTGAAGATAGAAAGAAAGGCAAAAGACTATCCCTGCTCTTAAGGAGCTCACAGTTTAATGGACCCTTTTAGGTCAAAGCTACTTACCACAAGCCTTTATGCCTGAGTGGAGACCTTTCTTCTCCATTTTAATTTTTGTTTCATAAAAATTAAGTAAAATAAGTAATTTATAAACTTCAGTCTTAGAACATATAGACCAGCTTTCCTCATGTATCTATTTGAAAAGTTTTTTTTTAAACCACCCTATTTTTAAAAGATCTTATTTAATTCCCCCCTGCACATTATAAGTTCCTACTTACAATGGTTTTCAGAATTTTGTTTAAGTAGTTAAAAAATGGTAACCACTTTAGAATATTTCATCATATTTCTGGCATTTAAAAGGGCAACTTACTACAATCTCATAGTGATCTGAAGATTATGATGGGTTTTTTTTAACCTTCAGCATTTTAGAATAATACTTCAGGTAAAATTTTCTTGACGAAAGCAATTTTTAAAAATACCTGATTTGTATCTATGTTCTACAATATGACCCACTGTGGGAACCACTGGTCCCTCCCGTGTTTCTTCTCTTCAGATATCGCAAAGGTGCTCTCAGTCACATTTACCCTTAAACAGGTTTTACCTCTTTCTGCACTAACAAAATGCACATTTCTCAAATTAAATGCAGCTTTCCCATAGCCTTGATGTTTACTGATTTTTACTCAGTTGAGAACACTTTTCCTTATATGCTAATCATGCTTATGATCCTTGGGCATCTGGAGTCCAACTTTTGTCACAATTATCTCTTCCAAAAGTGTCCTTGTAGCTAGACCCTGAATTTGTATTTGATATTATAGAATCCTTGTTTTATGAGATTTAAGTTACTGAAATTTCACCACTTATAGTTCCTTTTTTCATGATTTAGGCTAAATTGTTTCTTATTTCATGTGTAGCACATGTATTATTTGTCTCCTTGTATTCTTTAACTGATGAGCCTTTCGCTCACCACCTTTCCAGTTTATGCAGCATCTATGTTTATACATGTCTTATAATTGCAGCAATTACCCCCTTGCCTCATCAGGTTCCGTCACATCCTCTTTAAAAGTGCTCTATTCAAGCAAAACCTTCTGCTTTTGTATTTTTAATTAGGGTTATGGAGCATTATATAGTATTTAGTTCATCAAACCAGGAGCCAGAAATCCCAAGTTCTATTCAGAGCTTTGTGACTGCCTCCACACAAACATTTATCTATTCTCCATCTAGAAACCAAAGATTATACAGTATTTTTCAATGCTCTTGAGATTTTCAACTGAAAGTTACAAAGAAAATGATGGACCATTTGGACTTGTGAATAAAGGCTTCTGTTCTTGAATTGATAATTTCATTTGTTTGTTAAACAGGTTAGGATGCTATGTCAGTTATTAAGCAATTTAATTCCATTTTGAGTCTTCATTTGACTCAAATTATTCTTTGTACATAAAATAATTTTAAAATAATTATGAAGAAATCAATTAAATATGTATTATAATTGTGATATTTTATTATCGCATATTTGAAAATTACAGTCTTAAGTTACTTTTATGGTTGATTATCCCCCCTAAAATGCTAATTTTTAAACTAAAGTCCTCCTGAAATATGGACATGCATTTTGTCTGTGTAATAGGATCTCATTTTGGGGGGAAAAAGACTTTATGGCAAGAGAAAATTGTTTGATGCATAATTACTTGTAATTTGAAGGATATGGATGTAATAACAAGTTTTCCGCTACTGGGTAAGAAAGTCATGTCATGGACCCAGAGCAGGAGAGTTTACTACAGTTTTCATTCTGTTTCACTTTTGAAATAACCTGGACTTTTTGCGCTTTTCCACAGGTGAGGGAAAGGAGCAAGTGAGGAGCCTGCCATGCTAGAAAAAAGACTTCATAGAAGTGGTGCCAGCTTGCTTGGTGGAAGTAGTTCAAGCCTGGCAAAGAAAGTAACTCTTTGTATGTCTCATTCATTTGTCCCAATGAATTCCGCTTTAGAATAGGAATAGAACCAGAGCAGAGGTGGGGGTTGGGTCAGGGTGGAACAGAACAAAGAACTTTGCTGCTACCGTCATCCTTCTGTGGCAATTGTACGATAAGATGCATTTTATATTAGGCCAGTTGAAACCAACATTCCATAGTTCATGAGATGTGATTGAAAAATAACTTAAATATAAACAGTTCTTTCTTTATAGAAATGCTGGGAGGAAAATATCATTCTTGTTTTAGTGCAAGAATCGTTCCTATTTTACAGTGAGAGGCCAGGCTCAGAGGGCAGAAATGATGTCTTGGTAGAGGTCATATAGCTAGATGACTTCATTCTAAACATACCACCTTTGCATACTACCTTGCTTCAGTAATAAGGCTGATTCCCCCCTGCCCCCCCCAAAAAAAATCAAACATCAGCCCTTATAAAGCCAAAGGAGTGTCCTTCAAAGCAGTCACGCTGGGAGGCTATTCAGATATTCCCATGAATTTTCCATCTCTCAAAACATTGGAGTTCTTTTGAATTACCTTTAAATACAATTTATGAGTCATGGAGAGGTCTCTTTCATTACTTTAAAATCACAGCTCATTTTTTAGCATAAACAGCATTACCCAGACTTGGTTCTGCCGAACATTTAACTGCTTGC